CATCCATCCTCCATAAATAATCATACATATATCATCCATCCATCCCTCCATCTCCCCGTACTCCGTTGGGCACCTTCGCCAAGGTCCTACATCCATCCACTGGTTCAGAAAGAGACTTGCCACAAGATGCTGACCTGGGTAACAGTGTCCCTGCATGTGGCTACTATAACGCTGTCATACATCTACTGTGGGGTGTGTGGCACTTGCCAATGCACGCCTTTGTGTGGCATGGGAGATGCTCTGACCCTGAGCTGTATGCTGGCTGGGGAAGTTCCAGGCCTAACTAACCAGTGAGAATTCCAGCGGACCCTGGGCCTCTGTTATCCGCTAAAAGAGGAACAACCCAAATTCTTGTGTGACAAAGCTAAGTGAGGCCAATTTGTAATCACGTGAACAAATAATTTTAGAGACCGTGCAAATCAAAAGCTAAAAAGTACCGCAGAACCACAGGCTTCTGCAACGAAACATGCCCTCCCCCACTGGCCAACTGCTCAACCTGGGCTGTGCAGGGGAGGCCAGGGCCTGTACAGAGAGTCCACAGAACGGACGTCAGAATTCCCCTTGACCACCCACGCAGTAGAGTAAGCAGCCCTCCCCCTTCCTTCCGCCCTAAGGGCAGAGCTGAGGTGATTCCCGCGGGCCACTGCACAGACTTTCCCAGGTCCCTGAGCCCAGTGTGCACTTGCCTGCACAATCTCAAGTGTCCACCATCCATGTCGAACTTTCGAGTCTCCCTGAGTGCCTTAGCTGGGAGCAGCTGACCAGCAGGGTACCAGTAGGTCACCCCATGCAGGGTCAGAGGACTTTGGTGAGTAACCTGCCAATGAGCAGAGCCTAATCATAGTAGGGCTGTGTGCCCTTCGAAATCTTGGTTCCTCTCACATCTGTTCTAGTACATATACATTCGCATCTATACCTAGCACAACTAGGTATCCTCAATGTCTCTCCCACACCTGGGCCAGACAGACCATGACTCTACCCACCCACCCTTACCAGGCATGCATTCCCACTTAGCGCCTAGTACCTTCTTCTGAGGACCTGTGCCAGGGCCTGTAAGGTCACCAAGAACTGTTATTGGCCACAACAAGCCTTCCTGAATGTGAGCTGCGACCCTGCATTTCTGCCTTTCTTTGGCACTTGGGGCCACACAAACCAGCTGCCGATCCTCTGTTCCCATTACCTCCCTTGGAGTTCAACCTCTTTCTCCTGAGAGCGAAAGCCACAGCCACTTCAGACTTGGGCCTTTGCTAAAGACCAGGATGTGGCCTGTTGTCTGCTTTTGACCTTGTGTTTGGATGTAGACATAAGGAAAGAAGAAAAGAGACCCTCATCTGAGAATCTTTGTAACAGGGGAGCCAGGGGCTCAGTTCTCAACAGGGAAGCAAAGAAGTGGGTTATGTGGCATGTCCATTCCAGGGACCAGCAGCCTCCATGGGAACCAGCACAGAGTGACGGAGCCCATAGGACAGAACGCTCTTAGTGTGGCGATTTAACACTATAGTGTCTGGGAGAAACGCTGTAGACGAAATGGGAGCCACAGGCTGTTCTGAGGCCCGGCAGACCTTTGAGTGCTGGCTGCCCATTTGACTAACTGACATGGATCTGGGGGGAGAACTTGGCAGTTACTGTTTCCATTTTACAGAACAGCTGAGACAGACAAAGATACACAAAAGAGCTGGGAAGGCAAGACTCAAGGTGTGGCCCGGCCAACACAGCAGCCTCCCTTGGGCCTCTGCTTCATTCCCTGATGGTGTGTGTGGGAAACGTATTCCTTCCCTCTTCTTAGGCTGGAGCCGTGGGGAACAGCAGCTGAGGCCCTGGGTGTACCAAGGGATGCTTTCTGAGGAAGCCCAGAGTCTGGTGGAACTACACAGGCCCAGCAGACCTTGCTGTCCTTGGCACACAGGTGCGCTGGGCCAGTGGCAGCAGCGAGGAGCTGTGTAGACACAACATGGGGCCTTCTGAGCCCCTCAAGCAGTGCTCCCCCTTCCCCTCCCCCAGAGCCGGGACTTTCCAGATACTCAGAGTGCACCTGGGTCGGAGGGTGGGGCTGACTCCCAGTTCCTCTGGCTTTGGCAAGGTCTTATGGTACCTCCCCCTTTGTTTAGGATCAGTCCTGATGGGGTGGGAGCTGGGGACCCTAGGAAGTGGTGAGGGAGAGGTAGGGCTGAGACGAGGGGGCCAGGCACTGTGCCAGGGTGGACCTGTCCTCCCTCGGTTCCATTCCAGGCTAAGCAAGGTGTCCCACGGTCTGCGTCACATCCAGGTGTGGGAATGGGTAGAGCTAATTCCCATCTTTAAAGTTTGGTCCCCACCTTCACACTTTATAGACCAGGAAGCCCAGATCACCAGAATTCAGATCTATGTGACAGACTCTCTGTAGCTTGGGGACCCAGGGACATGGCTAAACCTGGTCCATGAAGCCAGAACATAGGCTGTATCATTAGGATGAGCCTGGCTTCAAAAGGCCCTGAGTTCAGCTGCTGATCTAGCACCAACCCTGATCACCTGCCTCTGCCTTCACAGAGCTTCCCAAAAAGTTCTGGGGCTTCTCCTTCCTCAGGCAGAAAGGAAGCTTTCTGTCCTCGCCCTGCCCCCTCCCAGGGCTCCACTCTATGGACCCTCAGTTGCAAAACCAACTTCACTAGTGTGTGAAGATGGAGACCAGGTTCTCAAATAGAGGGAGGTCTTCTGTCAGGGCACTGTTGTGGGGGCCCTAGCGGGGCAGTTTTGCTCTGTGACCGTTAATGCCATCAGCTGGACTTCAAGGCGTGCTTGATCCTCTAGGAGCAAGCAGAGCCCCTGAAAAGCCAAGTTTAGGGTGTTCTGTTGGGCTCAAACTCCCACCCAGAGAAGCCGGTGCCAAAGGCTTTTGTGAGATTCCTCCTCACTTCTTGCTGTCTCTTGTAGATGAGCCCCTCAGAGCTGGCTCTGAGTCTACCCTGGTCAGTACTTGCAGTTTCAGTCTGAGGAGGCCATTTGGCTTTCCTGTGTGCTGGTGGCAGGAAGGGAGCATGGGTTTGGGAGGTAATGGCCTGATGTCAGCTCACTACTGTGTAAGTGCTTCTGCTCTCTGGTTCTGTGTCCTCCTCTATGAGCAACATGGTAATAGGATGATAGGGAATTGAGGGACCAAACTTGAGTTAAAGCCTGCTGCCCTTGGGCCTCCAAGGGACAACGCTCTTCTCTGTTTTTCTGATCCCCTTTATATCCTCCTGGGGGAGATGCCCCTTTGGAAGAGGCTACTGTGTCCCCTGTCTCGCTGCCCTGGAGGAAGTTGGGACCTCCTTGCTAGGAGGTTCAATGTGCATCCGGGATCCTCACTCAGCTAGACTTCAGGAGAGCTTGTCCTGATCTTACCAGGCTGGAGGCCAATAGTGGACACAGCAGAATGGGTGTGCCCCTGCATCCATGACCAAGAAATTGTGTTCTCCTCCTTGCCCTACTCTGTAGACCCTGGTAACATTTGCTTGACCTGGCTCTGTGAGTTTATCACGGCCGCACCTCTTCGTGGGCATCCCTTTTCCTTTCGGTGCTAGGCGCTCCTGAGAACACCCTACTCTTGCTCTAAGCAGCCCCGAGACCCAACCTTATGGAGCCAGACACAACTGAGAGGGACGGACAACATGTCACATATAAACTTGGGACACAGTGGGAAGCTCATCAGGCGGAGGAACCGCAAGGAGCCGAAGGCGGTTGGAAAGAATGGCGCCTGTGCCTGTCAGAGCCATCATTCCTTCAAGAGGCAGCGAACAGTTCTGCTCAGTTAAGAGCCGCTAGAGCCTCCCCGGGCAGGGCTCCTATCCTTCTGAGTGGCCACCCTGGGCTGGGGAGACATGCATCTGGGAACTTCACGGCTAGTCCACCACTTCCGTGTGGCCTGACCTTGGGTCTGTCACCATACTCACAACACCTCCAAGCCCGTACTACTCCCAGGGTGGGGGTGGACCACTTTCAGAGAGGCCCCTTTCTCTCCTCCCTTGGTTTCCCCTACTGAAGTGGACAGTTCTAGATGGAGCACAGGACGGGCATCCCCTCGGGGAACAGAGACCAGAGAGGCCTTGTCTAGGTTAGCACACCCACCGACATGCTTTCTGCTCAATTTGCATTGAGAACTGAAAGTCTCCCTTGCCTGAAGAGTGGCCTTCAGCTGTCCCCTGGGGCACTTTCTCTAGGAAGCTGACCTGGACTTCATCCTGTCTCTGCATACATCCCTCTCCTGGCTTCCAGTTAGTCTTACTGCTGGAGAGGGTATGTGGCGTGGGAATGACAACCCGAAGGAGCCGTCTATGTATCACCAGGGACACTGGGGATTGGAGCAGAGGCTTCCTACCTCACCTAGACCTAGACATGTGTGGGAGGATGAGCGCACTAGCAGGAAGAAGACTTGAGTTCAGGACGTGAGCCCCCAGTGACCCTCCTTGTTCCTCCATTCCCTGCCGGCTCAGGCTGGGGGCTCTGCCATCCTCCCTCTGTCTGAAGTTCACAAGCTGTCCCTCACGATTAGTTCACTTTTCAAGGCGTGTGTTTCTGGCTCTGCAATTGGCCCCTTTACCCAGCCGCTGATCTTGGTGTGTGTGTGTGGGGGGGGTGTTGGCTATCTCATTTACCACAGACAGATCATTGCACCTGAACCCATGTGCTCCCAGGTCTAGGCTGCAGGCTCAGCAAAGCATGCTTTGCTTGGTGCCTCTGTATCATCCTCTGCTATCTCTCAAGGCTGGGTACAACCTCACAAGAAGCCCCTGAGACCGTGAGGCCAGCAAGATGAAGGCCGAGGTGGAGTCCGGGTGGCCTGACTAAGGGAGCAGGGCTGGAAGAGGAGTGTGGAGCACAAGGTCACAGCATGGAGCTGCTGAGCCTATTGAAGGTGCTTTGGCAGGAAATGGGTCAGAGGTCATCTTCACATCACACAGACTTGAGTCAAAAGGCACCATCACCTTATGGTGATGCAGGTCAGAGGTCACTGTTATGTCACACAGATATGGTCAGAGGTCACCTCATTCCAAGCAGATGTGGGTGAGAGATCACAGTCGCTCGTACAGATTTAGGGCAAAGGTCACTGTTAACTCTCTGCAGATTCTCATGGGCTTCCCGGTCCCTCTTTTTGGGACACGCCACCTCAGAAGTTGGCTCCCATGTTAGCCTCTCTCGTCTGTTGGGAACCTGCCTCCTGCGTGGGTCACATTGTCCCTGCAAAGCTTGTATCCCACTAACAAGCACAGAGGCTGGGCAGCCTACGTGGAGGCTGCGTGTGAGGTGGGAACGTCCATGGATTTCTATGTTGGTCTTTACTGTGGCTGCCCTGGGGATGTCCGCGGTACCCCCGGCAGCTGGTGCCTGTGAGATCTGCCACGAAATCCCCACTCATCCCTTGTTATCCCAGGGAACCGTTTCCAGGTGGCTGCATGAGAAGACCAAGAGGCATGGCCTTAAGTCACTCCTACAGAATGGCCCAACGTTTGCACAGAACCCGTGTACGTCCTGTGCGTACTGGATAATGTGATATTTGACACAAGTAGGCAGACCTACGGGGACAATAACAAGGGACTCAGTTCGGGGGTCTTTTTCTCGAATATCTTCTACCCAGGGTTAGCAGGATCTATGCACGAGGAAGGAACCCCTGGGCATTTAAGCTCAGTGATAGCCTGGAAAAAGGAGGAAGGAAGAGGAAGATGGCAGAGCAGGGGGGAGGGGAAGAAGAGAGAGGAGGGAATGCGTAGTAGAAGCCACCCAGGCCAGGGTTGGGCTCAGAACTCCGATCTGGACCAAGAGGCCCAGGTGTCCTTGCTGCCAGTGCCCCTCCTGCCTCTGTTTGGGCTCCTCCACTTAGTGACACTCCCTACCTCCTGCTCAACTGGGCCCCATGTTGTTTCTCTAAAGCCACACCAGCAAGCCTGACTTGGCTACTCCGTGGGATTCACTACCTGGACCTCGCCTATGGGGGGGTGCTAAATCCACTTGGATCATCTAGCTACTGTGTGAGTGGATTTCAAGGTTTCTATACATGGCACACCCTGGCCCCATTCCCAGGAAGAAAGCCACCCTCTGATCCAGATCTCCGAGACCAGCAGGGTTATGCTGCTCCTATCGCACACAGTAGGTTCCTAATAAACGTGAGCCGGCAAACACTCTCCCTGGTCTGCTTCTGGCCCCTCTGCGCTCTGGGGTCTGTGACAGACCAGGATGCCCCACCCTCATTCTGAGGGGTGGGATTGATTGCTCCGTGCAAGGCTGACTCCTCATTGCTCACCCTGTCACAGGGACAATGGGAGTCTTCGTCCTTGCCATCCACTTTACCCACAGCCCTCCATGTCCCAGCTCACAGCAGAGGCCTCTCTCCTGTTGCCGTTAGCCATGAGCCCAGTTTAGGGAGTTCTGTACGTGCCGACTTTGTAGAGAAAGAGATTCTTGGCACTCAGTTTCAAACCTCTCTGCTCTTGCAATGATTTCAATGAAGCCAATTAACTCATATTCTGTCTCCAAGATTTTGCACAGATTCCTGGAGGTTTACAGAGAACCCAGAACTATCTTAGCCACCTAGACCTGCCAAAGAGGTCCAGCTCCACGCTGCCTCTGGTGGTGCTTTCTGAACCTGCAGAGTCCACCTTTGACCCCTCCGGTGGAGGTTGTTTTTAGGAGTGTGACCTGTACCAAGTGACCTTGGGGACATTAAACTGGAGGATGGGTTTTCTGTCAGGGACATATGCAGAGTGTTCTGGGCACCCCCATCCCACTAATACCACATCCTTATTGCTGGCACAACCAAGTTCACATACACCTTGAGGCCCTGAGCTTCTAAGGTTACTGCTCCATCCAAATCACACAGTGATCTTCCTTCCACTTCTAGCTAGCCTCTTGCCTCCTTCCTAGTCTCAGAGGAGCCATGTGGAAGACTGGGGTAGAAGGGAAGGAAGGACCTGGCCCAGGGCACGCAGCAAAGGGCACAGATTTAGCTGCAGCGCTCAGGACAGTGGGTCCATGAGGACAGCAGCTCCCTTGCACCCACCTGCAGGGGACTCACACCTGGGTCTATGAATCAGCACATTTTCACAGATGTTGCTGAATCCCCTCACCTGGCAGAAGCCAAGAATAACACATGCTGTTTGGGAAGTTAGGCCATATAGACCCAGGCACCATCATTTAAGTCCTGTATGTCTCTGGATACATGGGGATTTGGATGTCGGGGCCTTGGACAAGCTGCAGGTTTGAAGCAGCCTTACTGTGGTTCTCTCTGCAGAAAAGAGTGCCCCAGGCCCAGGGTCTGGTTATGAATCTGTCTGCCACAGCTAGAGTACTGTGGGATTCAGAACTGTGGGCTCAGGAAAGCTCCAAAGATTGCCTGAAGTATGACCACATGGTTGGCTGTGAGCTGGGGACGGAGCCACCTGCTTAGCCATCTCTGAGTCCCTGGAGGTTTTGGAACGGGGACAGAGATGTAGAGGAGCCTGGCAGTTTGCTGGGTCTCCTACCTGAAGCCAGCAACTCCTGCGGGTGAGAAAGGTCCCCATGTCCCCCACTGCCCTGCTGGATGTAGTCTGCTCACGGCGCTGGGCCTGCGCTATGCCTGCCCCCTCCAACCTGCACTGAGGCTTTATATCTGGAAGCATCTGTGAGCCCCTTGACATCTAGCCTCATCCCCCACTTGTAGAAAACATAGCCCATTCCTTCTTCCACAGAGCCAGGCACCTGCCTCTGGGTGGGGCCAGGACTCAGGCTTGGCACCTGCCATGCTCCTATGGGGCCACCTGCCCCAGCTGTGAGCTGTTGGCTGGGGGGACTGTGTTGATATTTGAGGTAGGTCAACACAGCCACGTTGTCAACAAAGTTGGGCACACGCACAGCAGCTTGGAGATGTCACCTTCCTGTCACCTGCTCCACCTGTCCCAGCTGCTGTCTCTCCAGTCCTCCCCCTTCCCTCCCCTAGCCTCTTACCTGGGCTGCCATGCTGAAGACCCCGGGGTCCTGAGAGCAGTGCCCCACTCTCCAGGGTGGTAGATGCCTGGGACATGGAGCTGCCAATGGAGTAGGAGACTGATGGGTGCTGGAGCTGGGGTGAAATGACCGGCTTCCAGAACTCACCCTCAAGCACCTTCTCTGACTGCTTGGGGTGTCGAAAGAACTGGAGGGGTGGGGGCAGCTTTGGTGTCTTAGCGCCCGTGCCTCGGTTCCTCGGAGGTCCCAGACCCTTCTAGTCACTACTGCCAGCGGAGCTAGGTTGTAGCCCTGGACAGAGGGTGGGAGGCTGCAGGGCCTCATGTGACATGGGGCGGGCTTGGGGACAGCGTGGGGGAGGTCCTCCTGCAGCCTTCAGGGGTGAGGCAGCCAGCTGTGTCACAGTGATAATGCGGTGGGGGTCGGGGACTGCAGCTGTGCCCAGTGCTTCTTCGGCAGGAACCATCTGCCCGGCTGCCAGTCCTCCCTCCACCATGCCATTCCGGTGTGACTTTCCAACAACTTCCTCCTATCCTGCCTGTAGCCGGGCAACCTCCCAAAGGACCCGGTCTGGTGTGGCTCATGGTGTGTGTTTCCTCCCCGCTGGGGTAGTATCCATCCTGACCAGAGAGAGACGGTGGCTCATATGCCTGTCTTCCCACGGGGTAGAGCCCTCCCTGTGGCCTGGGAGGTCCAGAGACTCCACCCACTTTAACTGCCTTCAGTCAGACTTTGCCCAAGAGCCCCCTTCTATTTATCCCCAATGAAAGGCCTAGGGGAGCAGAGTCAGGAGTAAGCCTGGTCAGGACTCTGACCAGCCTCCTTCCCACGCAGGGCTCAGGTGGGCTCTCTGTATCGTACCATCAGGGGTTCTCTGGCCACCTGCGCCCTCTAAGAATCTCCGTTGTCACCTTATGCCTGGTCTTGAGCAGGATCAGGGTCACAGTCTCCCAGCTAGTGGAAACAGTCCTATACCATCTTCCTCATGGGGAGCTCGAGCCAAGCGGGCCCTTTGCCTGGCAGCCTAGAATTGGCTGGGAAGGCTGTCTACTTGGTGGAAACTCCAGCCCTTCTCCAGCTGACTTCTAGCAGAAATAATGCCACCAGAGGTTTAGGTCCCAGAGACAGCTACTTACTAAAGGGTGACAGCAGCTTCATGAAGGGTGTGGCTTCATGGAACGGAATAGTATTCTCTTAAGCCTGGTGCAGGTCCTCAGACATGGTCCTAGGATGTCACTTGGATAGCTACGCTTTGCTTTGATTTACTGTTTAGGTTGTTCCTGTGCATAGCTGGTTAAATCCCCGCATCAGCATGTCTCCTTGGATGTCTCCGACTTGGCATTTGGGTGTCTTGAAGTTAAGGGTAGACAAGCTGCATGTTTAGGCCTTGAGTTGGAGACTTCTGGAACTTTCTGCCCTCTCTGTCATGCTGGCTGACTGCTCCCTTCAGGGTTTGGAGAGAGAGGACCTTGTGAGCGAGGACTGTCCACCAGTGTCACCATGCTTGCTCTGTTCTGATGATGGAGGAGTGTGGGATTGGCAGAGGGTGTTAGATTTGGTCTATTTATTTGCAGTCCTGCTGGGCCGGGCTCCTGGACTCAGAAGCACCAGTACAGCTGAGCCAACTGTCCCCCGTATATCCAAGAGAGTGAGCCAAGGGAGGCTTTGGATTTGGGGTAGTGAGGGGCCTGGGTAGACAGCCCCACACCCGGGAGGTGGCAGGGCTGGCCCCTGGGTGCGGCTGGTGGGAGCGGGTGGCTCCACCTCAGACTAAGGCAGATGTTCCTGGCTCGCACCTGTGGGGCCCGCAGATGGGACACTTCCGCTTTCGAGAGGCGGCTCTCAATTGCTTATTGCCTGTCCTCTTGCTTTTCCAATCGGCGGGCCTGACAGAGGTGGGGTTTGAAAGAGAAGAAAGTTGCCCACAAGTGGGGGGCTGCCCCAGCACCTGGGGGTGATCATCCGCTCACTATGCCCCCAGGAGGGCAGTTGATGTTTGTGGGGAAGTAGACGTTAACTGCGGCTTTCTGAGCTGGGTGGTCCTATAGATAAGGAGTGGGGAAGGAAGTGGCTGCAGAGGGCTTGAGGGGGTGGTGGTTCCCTGCAGAAACCATGGCTGGCTGAAGTCTGCACCTAGCTTTTTGCCAGGGTTTGGGAGCTCCCTCCTGTACCCTCACACTCTTCCTGTGCCAGAGTAGCAAGATGTCAAAACGGCCTTGCTTCTGCACTGTGGGAGATAATGTGGCTGAGTGATTCCAGGTTGGGAATCCAGGCAGGCTTCCTTCCAGGTCTTTGGGAATCTACAGTCTAGCCAGAGGGCTGGGAGTAGGGGTGCAGAGGCTGTGGAGGTGGGAAGTAAGGAGGCACCCCACTCACTCTTGTCTCCTCTCCTAGTTTATGAAGCTCCGTGACTGCCGGGTGGATAGGTAAATAATGAGTGGACGGGTGGACAGACAGATGGATAAAAACACAAGGCTACTCAAATCTCATAGCAACTCACTTTACACAGAAGGGATAGGCTCAGCAGGTTGATGTCTCCAGTTATTAAATCCTGGAAAGAGGGTTGTGAAGTCCCAGCCACCCCAGACTAGGAGAACAGTACTAATGTACATACGCAGCTTCATGTGAACTGAGTAGCAGGCCACCGACTTCTGCTTCGAGGTCCCAAATGGGGTGTGTCTAGTGTGGGTGCATAGCAGGAACCATTCACCTGGGTGCCAGGTGAGCCTGGTCAGTGCTGGCCACTTGCAGCAGTTCAGGGTGTGGCTGAGCAAACGCAGAGCCCCGGAGCAGGTGATGCGGCACGTGGCTGGGTGACACGTGGAAATCCGGGAGGGGAACTGATTATCAGGTGTACATCTGGAGAAGACAAGCCTGTTTGGGGAGGGGGTCCCTAGGCTTAAGTAAGTCTGGAATTAACCCCAGGTGAGGACTAGAATTGGGGTCCTCATCTTTTGGGGGTGTGCTTACACCTTTGCTATCTGGTAAACTCCATAGCTGCTTCAGAGAACATAAATAAATTCACCAAACCACACAGGAAGTACATCTGCTGAGCACCTGGATATGCTAGGCCTGCCTGTGACCTCGTAGAACCCACTCAGCCTCTGGTGAGACCTAACTGTCAGCATCACACCACGGGAGGATCCCCAGCTGCTGTAACAAGGCTGGGATTCTCCAGCCAGGCTGAACCCAGATTGGTGACTCTGGATATGACTGTGACCCTCACTACCAGGTACAAGGTCCTATCTACCTCCACTTCTGCTCCATCAAGACCGGGTCTCTCAGCCCCTACTACAGAACAGGAAAGCAAGGCTCCCACAGGGGAGAGGCCAGCCTCTATACAACCCAGCACACCATGCAGTGACCCTCAAGAGGCAGGCATCCTGAGAGCCTGGGTGCTGCCTGCCCATCGGTGGGGGAGCCCCTCCAGAGGCCACTTTCCCTTTAAGGGGCCAGCGTGTAGGGCGGCCCCTGGTTTCTGTATGAGTGTGAGGTTGGGGCTGGAGGCTCACCCTTATTGTGGAGTTACTCTCCTCAGCAATCTGCTCTAATTTCACTTCCTTTGAGTCTGGGAAGCCAGAAGTGCAGCTGGCCTGGGCAGCAGGTGCCTGAACCACAGGGGCAGAAACTGGAGAGCCTCCCTTAAGCACGGACACTGTTTCTTTTGTATCTCCGCCTATCGCTCTTTGGTGTTGGGGGCAGCTTAAAAAGAGGCCGATGGGTTCTGGACAATGGACTCATGTTCTAGAACATTCTGAATACCCTGTTGCCAATAGCCTGACGTGTGGAGTGAAAGAGCAGGCGTGGAACCTGGTGCTTGCTGGCCGGCTTCCCTTGGGGCCAACTCCGCCTTCACAGCCACACTAAGGGTGCCACCCTTCCTCCTGTTGGGTGGGTTGCTGGCAGGTGTGCCATGGTCATGGTGGGCCAACAGGATGACTGGTGTCTAGGCACCTGGGAGGACTTGGGGGGACTCTTGGAGATACCCCTACAATCTGATTAGCCACGGGTTTTCTGCAGAAGCTGTCCCCTCAGTGCCAGCAGGCACTACCACCACCAACTACAGCACGGTCAATGACGCGACCTCAGGATTAAATGGGAACTTAACCTGTATCTGCCAAGAAAAAAAAATTTGCATTGCTTTTTTAAAAAGGAGGTTTCTAGTAACGTTTTTCTGGGCTGCACACACACGTTTAGAGGATGTGATGCTCACGTACCAGCCCCTCACTTTCTCCAAAGCTGTGAACCCGCTTTTTAGATAAGGCCTCAAGTAACCTGGCTGCCCTCCAAGTTACTTTGTAACCAAGATGGGCCTCGAACTCCTGATTTCCTTGCCTCTGCCTCCCAAGTTTTGGAATTATAGGCGTGTACCACCATGCCTGGCTTTTAACTTAGCGTCTTAAAATGTGAGGTAGGGCTGGTGAAATTGCTCAGTGGGTAAAGACAATTTGCCACCAAGCTTGGCAACCTGTGTTTAACCCCTGGGAGTCACACAGTGGAAGGAAAGGACCAGTTCTGTACTTTCTCATTCTTTGACCCCCCCCCTCCTACCACACAAGAAAGAAAGAGAGAGAGAGAGAGAGAGAGAGAGAGAGAGAGAGAGAGAGATTATTTTAAAAGTCAGTGTCGTCCCTAACATCCCCACTCCCACCCTCCCACCCCCAGGCAACTAGCAAAAGGCCCACTCTCTGGCAGTCTTGTTGAATATCTGGTTTCACTATGGACCCTGCCTGCTGCTGGTGTCTCTTGCTTAGCTTCAGAATTTGGGGTTCATCCTAAAGTGACTGTGAAGGGTTACTTTCCCCAGGCTACAGACGACTTTCTCTTTATCTCCTCAATTTAAGCGTTCTCATTAGCATACAGATTTCAGCTGCTGAGCTCGCCAGAGAAGTGAGTCTCTGAACCCCTTGAGGCTCAGCCAAGCCAGTGGCTCTGCTCCTTGCACATTCGCTGTCTCTGCGCCCTAAGCGTCCCTGCACAGGGCCTGAGGTACGCCTGAGCACATACCACTTGGGAGCCTCAGATTCTGATGGTTCCCAGACCCTGTCTTGCTCCACCATGTTCAATACAAGTTCCAGATGCTGCAGGATGTGAAGGCAGAGGGCCAGAAGAGAGGTTCGGCACCCCAAGGTGTGCCTGGTTGTGGACATTTATCAAGAAACCCTGCTGAGCCAGACACCCTGGGGGTATTTGAGTCTGTTCCCATGAGCCCTCAGGGGCTGAGGTCCAAGGGATGCACCTGCAGGGCTACATGGAGGGGGGTCAGAGAGGGACCTCAAGACCTTTCTTTCTGGCATGACCTGGTCTCTTAGGGCACATGCTTTCTGATCCTACCCTGATGTCTGATGTTTCTCCTGAGGGCTGCTCAGTTTCTTGTCTCTCCTGCCCTAGTCCCTTCTCCTTAGGAGACCACGACTTTACACCTGTCTTAGTGACCGTTCTATTGCTGGGAAGAGACACCATGGTCAACTTATCAATGAGAATTTTATTGGGGGTTTGTTTATAGTTTTAGGTTTATTCCATTATCCTCATGGTGGCCACATCCTGATTCCTAGGCAGAGAGAAAAGACCTAGTCCTGGCATGGGTTTTGAAACCTCAAAGCCCACCCCCAGTGACAGACTTCCTCCAACAAGGCCACACCTCCTAATCCTTCTAATCATTTCAAAGAGTTCCACTCCCAGGAGACTAAGCTTTCAAATCTACGGGGGAATCATTCTTATTTACGCCACTGCAGTGCCTCTCTCCACCTGGAGCTGGGCCTAGGTGGTATTGTGACAGTTCGCACTATGCTAGGAGAGCCCCCAACAATCCCATTGCCTCCCCTCCCCCTGCAGGGGGAGGTCCTGCCCTGCCACTGTATAGTTGTTTGCATTTTCTAGAATTTTCCGTGATCGTAATCAACACCAGGTATTTCTCTGTCCCTCTCTCTTTCCCTCCCTCCCTCCTTTCTTCCTTCCTCCTTTGTTTTTACAGTCTCCTATATCCCAGGCTGGCCTTGAACTCCTGGTCCTTCTGCCTTGCTTCCCGAGTGCTGAGTTTATACCGTATGCCATCATGCCAGGCTTATGTAGTTGCAGGGAATAAGTCTTAGGACCTTGTGCATGATAGGCAAGCTCTCTACCAGCTGAGTTGCCCTACCTTGAACATCCCTTTTGTCTGGTTTCTTCCTCTCAATTCCTTTGAGAGGCCTCCTTTTCTTTATTCTTCTATGTCCACTGCTGTTCTGTGAATGGTCAGTCTGTGACTCATGCCACATCTGTAGGTATTGGTGGTTGAAGTTTTGGTTATCTTGGGAGAGAGGGTCTCTGTGCCAGAGGGACTGAACACACCTATGCTCACCTTCACCTTTGGAACCAAAGCTCCACTTAACAGCCATCACAAACCTGCCCTGAAGGTGATGTCCCCTGTAGCCCCAGGTGGCCACCCTGACATCCACATCCCTAGCCTCCTAAGAAACCGTTCATTTTCCTTTAGGAGCATTCCCTGGGCCTCTGGGAATAACACCCAGGCCTGGTCAGGCTGCCTATGGCCAGTCAATGTACACCCTCTGTGATACAATGGGTTCTGAGCTGTGATCCCATCCTAGGTCACTGGGACTCTGAGAGAGGTGGCTGTGTATCACGTGAAGACAACAGAGGCTAAGAGAGAGATCTGCCCTGCTGTCCCTATGGCCTCTCCCAGCCAATGTGAAGGGCAGATCCCATTGTAGTTTAAGCTTCCAACTTGGCAGAGAAATGAGGACCTCAGCACCCCTGGCCAGGTTCTTTGGAGACAGAGCCAGTTCCACATACACAGTTCCCAGTTCTGACCTGGGGTGCCCAACAGCGGTTGGAGGGTAACTCCTCTCCAAGCTTCCCCTTGCCTACTCTGCCTCCTCCCTTCCTCTTTGGCTTCCCCCTGCATTCTTGGCCTCCTCCTGCTTCCGCAGGCTCCTTGGCCTCCCCTGGACAGCACACTATTGAGTAATAAGCAGAAAGCAGGGGCTTCTGTCTGCCTGTCCTCTTCCTCACCAGCTCCTTTGATCCTTAGAGAACTCCATTCAGAGTGGGCTTATTGCTCTGTCGACCCATTCCACCTCAGTGACACAGGGTGGCCCACCTGTCCCGTCTGGTACTGGCCCACGAGCCTTTGTGAGAAGGGTTTTTTTTTTTCCCCTCCGGGAGCAGGAGAGTTGGCCTCTGTAGCAGAGGAGGTTTGTGGAACAACAGGCACCAGAGCCAACACCGAATCCCCGGAAATAGTCATGTCTGAAACACTCCTGGATGTTAGTTCTATTGCTGAACAATTAATTCCCCATTGGGTGACCAATGTCTGTATGCTGTGGACGCTTACAGCCACGACAGCCTGGATGTACAGGTGCTGACTTGTGGTTAGAAACCACTGTTTGTATCACAGTCTTTGGGGACAGGCTGACTTTGGCTTGACCTTATCACCTGCTCCTGGCTCCTCTTGGGCAGGCCAGTCTGAGGCCGTGGAGCCTTTATCTGTCCTATATCAAGCCCAGACATACCTCAGGACTAGTGGCCACACCATGGAGGGATTCAGGTATGCCCATTGTACTGGGTCTTTGTTCGTGGAGGGTAGAGACTTTTCTGAGGCCCCCTGAACTCAAGAGAACTGGGCTAGAATACTGAGCTTGGGGGACTCGAGGCTTGGCCCCTGACTGAAGGGAGGAAGGATGGGGGAAAGGACCGAAGAGAAGAAAGAGAAGGGGGCTGACTTCCTCGCACTCCACAGACTTATACTCCTTATCTGTCAGGCACCCATCAGGATGTTAGCTTCGCAGGGCAGTCAGCTGACTCCTCAGCTGTTACCCAGTCCAAGGACCCTCCCCCATCTCTGCTTCCTGCTGCACTTTGCTCTCCCTATGTCCAGTCTAGTAAGCTCAGTGCCAGCAGGCACTCATGTAAGGTCCCCAGGGCACCGGAGCTCCTAGGAACTCCAGTGGGCTCCAAAAGGGCCAGACCTCTGGGTCTTTAGAGGCTTGCAGGTGTGTGTGTAGGAGGCAGGACTTGGGGATCTTTCTAACTGAGGGTCTGAGGCCTCTGCTGCTGCCCTGATCTCACTCACTCTGTCTGCTATTCAGGACTCAGGCAGGTATAGCGTGCCCCAGGGCCTTTGTACACACAGAGCACTGGGCTGGGACATTCCTCCTGCTTTGTCAAGGCTCTCTTCTTGAGTGCTCCTTCAGTCAGCTTGTTCAACCGCCTCCTCATGGCCCATCATCCCTGTGCCCTTCCTCCACCATCTCTATAGTCTAGCAGGCATTCTGCTGCGGCCAAAGTATCAGGATTCCACCTGGCAGTTCAGGGCTGAGTGTTTAAGAGACGAAACAGATGCTGTCTTGTCCCGGATGCTGTACTGTTCTTTCTTTCTAGATTTATTTTTATTCCCCCAACCTCTGTGTGTGTGTGTGTGTTTCTATACATGTATGCAAATGTGCACACAGTGCTTGAGGAAGATGAAAGATGTTGGGTCCCCTGAAGCCGGAGTTAAGATAGGTGTGAGCTGCCCAGCATGGGTGTTGGGAACGGAACTTGTGTTCTCTGGAGGAACAACAAACTCTTAACCACCGAGCTATCTCTCCAGTCCCATATTGTACTTTCCTACCTAGGAAATCCCACTGCATCTTTGCTGAGATCTGTTTTAGAAGCTGGGAGACACTGATCCCACCACTCACTAGACAGGGTGACAGAGGCTTGGTGGCTCTTTTCAAACCTCAAGGGAAGGTTTCTCAAACCTCATGGAAATTATCCCATGTCTCATTTGAGAAATAAGGAAACAAGCCAGCAAGCATCTAGGGCTGTCCTAGTCACACACAGGTGCATTGCTAGAAGGAAGGTCGGGTGGGGCTCTTGCCACCCACTGAGCAGAACCCAGGTCAGAACATGGCCTGTGTCACAAGTATCCCCCAGCATGGCATGCACACCGACTGGGCTGCTGGTGGTACCTAGGCTACCCTGGCAGTGAAGGGAGCAAGGCATTACGGGTTTCAGAGGACAGAGGCCACAATCTAGGGATCACCAGGGTTGCCGTCAGTTCCTGGTACCTTGAAGAGACAGGAAGATGTATCAATCAGATTGGGTGTGTAACAAAACCACAGTAAGGGTCCTCAATTCTGGAGGCTGGAGTTTTAAGGTCAACATGTGGCCAGACTGGGTTTCTTCTGAGGCATCTCCTGGCTTTGCTGATGGCCGCCACCTGTGCTATCCTCAGGGCTTTCTCTGTGTTCCCACAGCCGGATGTTGTCTCTGCACCCAATGTCTTCTTACAAGATCTGGGTTGAACTAGGATGGTCACTGCCTTGTGGGCCTCATTTTATTTCTTATTATTTTAAATTATGTGTAAGTGTGTGGTTATGTGTACACACATGAATTTAGTGCCTCGAGAGGTTGGGGTACAATGGACCCCCTGAAGCTACAAGGAGTTACAAGAGGTTGTGTGTCACCCAGTGTAGGTGCTGGGAAGTGAACTCAGGTCCTCTGCAAGGACAGTATGAGGTCTTAGCCACTGGACCATCCTTCTAGCCTCTGTCGGCCTCATTTTAACTTCATTACTTAGAAGCTCCGCCTCTGCATTTAGAGGTCCTACACACACACACACACACACACACACACACACACACACACACACACCCCTTCACGCCCTCTCTATACAGGAGCTCCTATGAGATCCTAGGACAGCTTCAGCAGAGGAATTTGGAACCCAGCTCAATAGAGGTGTTTCTCTTCTCCAGACCTTCAAGGGTGAGTGCCCTGCCCACGTCCTGACCTCAGACAAGACTTCAGACTAAGCTGTCCCCTACACCCCCAAAGCTGTGGTCCTCCATGGTGGTGGCTACAGGGCATTTTCACAACAGGGTCCTGTGGTGCTCACTGTTTGTCCCCATTTTAGAAAAGGAAACTAGAGGCATGGGTGATCACTGGAGTTAGTAAGTGTCTGAACCCCGGGTTCTATACCCTGTGCGCTCAGCTCATCCGACCCCGCGGACCAGCGTTTCTCAAGTCCTAGAAGCTGGAAACTGGAAGCCACTAAGGGCATAACCTTTGCCCCAGGGGTCGGACGTCACCACAAGAGAGACAGGAGAAAAAAATCAATTGATGAAATAGCATGGCACAATATGACTGCAGAGAAAATGACTCGGACTATGACCTTGAGAGAGTCGACACGGTGTTATGCAGGAAAGGTTTCTTGGAGAGGTGACATGAGTCTGCAGCCCCATGTGACCCTTGTGAACTACACATACTCTGTGGGAAGCCGCTTGGAGCAATGCCAGGAGCAGGTGCAAAGGCCCCGGGGCAGAGTGACTTGCAGGGTGGGTGGCGGCCAGCCAACCCTAGATTCTCGTTTGCTCTGGGCTTTGCGGAACTGCTGCTGCTGAAGCCGCACCGTGCCTCGCAGGTGGCGAGGACAGACGCCCAGGCTGGCTTGAGGCAGAAGCATGGCACACTGGGACATATTTGGATGTAAATATTTTCAGCAGCGAGAGCAGCTGGGAGATGGGGCCTCGTCGGGAGCGTCTCTGTGGAAGCCTGGAGTCAGGGCCAGATGGCTTCCTCCCAAGCTGTACCACCATCCTCAGGAGGCTGTGAGGCAGGGTGGCGAGGCCAGGCTGTGCCTGTGGAGTTAGCTCCCTGTGCACAAGCTTCTGAGAGTCTAGTAAACAGGCCTGGGTTCCAGCCTGTCCTTGGTTGGATGCTCCCACCTCCCTTACCTATTACAGGCTGCACCTGCTGCCCTGGACGTGCAGACTAAGTGAACACACGTGCAAGGAGAGGCCTCAGCAACCCACTATGGCTGCACACATTCTTTGACACCGCCTCACTCTTTTCTTCACTTTTTCTCTAACCCTGGTGGAACTGAGGTTAGGAAGAAGTAGGTGCCCACTGATGTCCTGGTGTGGTAGGCAGATGGCTCTTGCAGGACCGTCCCCTCAGGCTTCTTCCTGGCCACGTGAGGCATCTCAGAACTCCTGCCTTTTGTTCCCCCGGGGATTGAGACTTGGAGTTCTGCTGAGGGCCAAAACATGGACAGATGGTACCTGTCACATCTTCACTCAGGATGTGCTCTGGGTCATGCGGTTCAGTGGTGCGCACTCCCCTGGCATCACAGGATCCTAAGTCCCTGCCTGGAAATGCAGAAAATAAATAAAATAAAACACATCTGTTCCTTCTCCTTTCTAATCAAGGCCAAGTCCCAAGCTCTGTGCTCGAGGCTGAGCGGTCCCCTCATTGCCCATAATAACCCTCTGGCTCTCCCTTTTCCAAATGGTCTGTCTGAAGTCTTTCTAGACAGACACGAAGTTCTGAGATTTGAAAGGGAGAACCCCCAGAAATGATTGGGAACAGTGGTTTGTTTGGGAGGAACTTGATGCCTTTTCTGATGTTGAGCCGGCAATGAACAGGAGTAGGCCCACTTGTCTGTAACTGGCCCACCGCTCTGGATGAGGTATGTGGAGGTCATGGTGTCTTCAGGGACACTAGCTCTTTCTAGTCACATGCTCTGAATGTGCTTGGTCCACTGGCTGTGTGTGCTCTTAACCACTAAGCCATCGCTCTACCCCAACTCACAGGTTCTTACCACTGTATTCAGGGAGGAACATTATTCCCAGAAACCTCTGGGCAGGTCTAAATGTTGACTAACTCTATTATGAGTGTACACTGCTTTCTGGGGTGTTGGTGAGGCCTGAGTGCCCTTGCTTTGGGCAGTGCATAGAGGTGCCGTGTGCGTCTAAGAGAGAAAGGACAAAAGCAAGACTCAGAGGAGGCTGGGAAGGCCCGTCTGAGAAAGGGAGAAAGAGACTAAGGTTGGGAAAGAGCCTGAGTCGTGTTGACTGCCCACCCTCAATAGTGGAAAGCTGCGGGGTGAGTGGATCTACCCATGCCCAGCACGCCACAGTAATCTTACTGTTCACTGGGGCCAACATAGGACACCTTGTGGTTTACCTAGATGTGAACCACACTTTAGCTCCAGCAGCTGTGGCTGCCTTGCCAAGCCTAGATGCAATGATGTCAGGTCTGTAGAGCCACGTGCTTCCCTCCTTAGGCTGGAACTGCGAACACCTGGATCCCTGGGGTACCCTTCATACACCCTCCACCTGGACCACCCAGCAAACCCTGCCCTGCTGCCAGCTGTATACATGTTGGGTGCATGGCCAGGACCAGGTAGTGTTTCCAGACCCCCACTGTCCCTTCTGAATACCGTAAGGTATTCTATGTGACTTTACTGGAAGTCTGTCTCCAAATATATGAGGAGCCCAGATGAAGGCTGTTTTTGCCATTGAACCTGTGTCTGAATCCTCGCTTTCAGCACAACACAACTCTGCTCTGTTTATTTGCTGCCATGTCTACAGGATCCTGGGTCATGCCTGATGTTGCTGCTGCTCACCTCCATGGGATGAAGACTAGAGTTGATGCTCAGTGTCTCAGTCCAGGACCGGGAGTAACTAGCTGGATGCTGTGTCTTCAACCACCCAGGGCAGGGGCTTGGAGATGCAGGGCCCAGTTTGCTTGCTGGCTTGGTGTTTTGTATTATTGGAGTGTCTTTCACCCAGCTCCAGCTTCCTGGAACCCTCCAGGATAGGAGTGTGGTACCTTCTAGAAAGAGAGCCCATGGTTGGTGACCTATGGGGCTCAAGATATAGACTGGACCAGCAGATGCTGTGCTCCTCACAGATGATGGAAAGACAGACAGACAGCAGATCTCTTAGACACCCCTGACAAGAGGCAGAAGTGCCACTGTGTACAGGCAAAACAAATAGCCTAATGTTCCACAGCTGTGTCCATGATTTGGTTCAGGCTCCCCATTGTCAAAGTCCTCAGTTTCCCCATTGTTAGATGGACCTGGGAGGATTGTTGGAAGAGGAAATGTGAATGCAGAAGCTCCCAGGGGGTCAGTGTGGCAGCTGGGTGGCCTGAGGCCACTTTCTTGTGCCAGGCTTCACAGCCAAGCATCCTCCTTCCCATTTCCCACCCTGCGTGGTCACCAGGGCCATTGTCTCACAGGACCTGGTTGGAACTCTGAAGCTTGGGCACACCCATATCCGCAGCCTTATCTCCTTCCTGGGAACTTCCCCAGGCCAGCCCCAAAGGTGGCGGAGGTGGGAGGGGGGCATACTGGGTGTGGGTCAGGGCTTTCCTGCTGCGACTTGATTAAAGGACACAGCAGTTGCTGCTGGCAGAATCAGCCAAGGCAGCCGCCCTCTGGCCGAGCTTTGCCTCTCTCTGAGTCTGTCTTCTAGGTCTCAGCATGCCATGCCGTTGTCACAACTGGGATGAACTGAGGGTGGGGGGCACAGCACTGTCACCTCTACGAGACATATCTACCAAAAACCACAGCCAGGGTGCATACACAGAGTACCTTCCCAGGTACCCAGCAGTATCTCTGGCCTGGATACAGTCCTCAGACCCAAGCAAGCAAGCCATCACACCCTGTCCCTTCTCCCATGCTTACCTTCCTCTCCTGCCTGACCTCCCAGGGCACCTGGGCTATGTATTACTTACGTCACCCCCCAAGTCTAACCGGATCCAAAAATACTAAGCTGGGGCCCATCTGTCCGCCAACTGATGAGCACAGATGTGCTGTGGATTTCAGAGGCGACTGGCAGACAGTCAAGGCTGTTAGAAACAGCACCTGCTGCCTGCGCCCCAGCTCCCCTTCTGCCCTACCCCCAACCCCAGGAGCTTCCGGAACATGCCAAGGGAACATCCTGAGGCTGACCTACAAAAAGCTTCACCTACCGTCTGGGAGGGTAGGGGGTCTAGGGTCCAGCTGGGGCCCTTTGACCTGAGCTCCTACATTGAAACTGGCTGTAGTTCTGGAAAGAGACAGACAGCAGGTGGGTATTGGGGCATGGCCACCCCAGGGTCTTTACACCTGCCTCCTTCTGCCTGGAACACCTTCCCTCCCCAGGGGCCCTCTCCCCAGCTGCCTTTAGCACTTTGCTCAGATGCATGGCTGCGGCTTAGCCAATCTGAGGGTCTGTGTTTTGCTTTGGGTTTCATGTCGCAAGGGATCTACATGTACAGGGCATCTTCTCTAGTATTGTCTCAAGAAGAGAAAGGAAGCAGAGTGGATGCATTACCCTCCATGATGGCAACAGCAGAAGCAGGGAGAGCAGCCAGGAGGCCGTGATGTGCTTTGAAGATGATGGCAGAAGAATCAGGACAGCATGTTCCAGGAGGGGAAATCAGTGTCCCAGAGGCTACGGCGTTTCGTAGGGCCCCCTGGGCTTTGCTAATGCTCACTCTGCCAGGTGCCCTGTGTGTGCATGGTTTCTCTGTGGTTATTGTGATTCAGTTCTAGGGGTGACTGAAGTCTTGATGTCTGGATGGGAGCCAGGGACTGCCCAGAGGGAACCAGGTCCCTGAGGCTGGGGAACAAGATTATTAGAGACATGTAAGCTTGATCAGGGGTGGGGGACATAGCATCCAGAACAGTGAAGACCCCCAGGAAGGCCTGTCAACATTGTCTTCCTTTCCTCAGCTCTTATCTTGGGTTTGTACTATGGCTTGGGGACTGTGGGTGGCCACAGGGATTGCGGATGGGTAGGTGAGTGGTCAGTCTCCTTTTGAGAAACTTTCTTCTGCAGTCCCTGCCCAAGTCCCTGCACTCTCTAAAGTGCAGAGTCTCCTCAGGACAAGGTAGAGCTAGTGTCCCAACCCAGCGCCGTGCCAAGTTCCAGACATCAGTATCCTCTAGGCCTCAGATGGCTGAACTATGGACTCAGTCAGTCCTGATCATGTGGTCCCTGAGCTGCAGCATTCCGGAAACAATCAGCACCCCTAAGTCAGCAGTCTCCAAACCATGCCGGGCTCCCTGTCACCCCACAAAGGGCTGTGGCAAGGGCTACAGGAGGACTCTGGCGGGGCACGGCTTTCCATTCCAACTGCAGCACCCTAGCTGTCTTCAAGTCTTGAAACCTGTTTGCTCATCTGTAAAGTGCATGCCAGAAAAAAAAGCAATTTCCAAGGTGTTTTACTGAGGGTTCTCCAGCTCCCTGGTGAGTCATTAACCGTATTTCTGCTTGACACTCAGGCGTGTGTGTTTTGAAGGCAGCTTGCGTGTGATTGGCACATGAATCCACAGAGTCTACACTCACCCATTGCACAGAGTGCACTTATCCTCACACCTGGATAGGTGACCATACGTCTTTTTTATTTATCTTTGTATTGGCCCGGTCTTTTCTCTGTGCCATGCACACCCTCTGGACGAGGCCTCCATCAGCTTCCTTCCACTATCTCCCCTACCAGGGCCATTTCCTGCCTTTCTCTCTACTTCCCACTTCTGTGAGTATCCCTTACTACAAGCCTTTCTCTCTCCTTGACCAGGACCAGACACAGCTCTGCCTCCTCCGTAAGGAGCCTACCTGTCTTGTTTTCCTGTTCTACCCTGATTTGAGTCTTTCTCCACGATCTAAAAAGTAATGTGTATTTGCTTCTCTTGTTAGTCTCTCTTAAATGGCTTGGATAGACCCCGAAGTTACTCTCAATTGGGCCTTGAGACTGAGTCAACACACATTCGTGGCTTGGGACCACTGTTGGACTGACATACAAAGGTCCTAAAACAAAGCCCTTCAGAGTCAGCAGCGGCCTGGAGAGATCCCAAGTACAGGCTGATGCTGTAGGATGTGGGTTTTGTGACAGCTTCCTTTGCCTCATCTGGCCCCATGGGGGACAAGGAACTAGACTGACCCAGGCTACAACATAGAGGGTCACTTGTCATACCGGGGTGATTTCAGAGCCTTCACTGGGGCCTGGATGGGCCTGCTTGGACATACCAGTGTTCAGAGAAATGCCACCAGATCATCCCTGACATACCTTGGTGTGCAGAAGTTTGACCATGGTCAGTCATGGGTTTGAGGCAGCTAGACAGCTGTGGCTTTTACTCCAGCCTCGTATACCTCTTCGTCCCAGTGCCTAACATAACCAAGAGTCACTGGTTCACCCTTGCTCTGCACCCTATCAATTTCTTGAACATGGACACAGCTATGTTCCAAGTATGACTGAGCCCCAGTGGCCTAGGAAGGGCAGGAGCCTCACTCCAGTTGGCTACCGACTCTCTGGGTGGCTGCAGCACCATGACAGCATGCCTCTCTACCACTCCAACATACATGCCCTTACCTGGTATCACAGCATG